TACTTTCACCACCAGAGCTTCTAATCTCATATAAGGGAGGATGCATGTATTGTATAAAATGTCACCCAAAAATAGCGCACCCCTCCCCCCACATCGCCCCTCCCACATGTCACTGTACATTGTGTAAGACTACTCATCACACCACTGTGCCCCCGGGGATGTCAAATGACAGAGATAATGTATGAGCGTTGGTGACTCATCCTCAGCCATGCACAGGGCATCCTCCCCGCCCCCCGGCCTCTCTCGCGCAGGCATCTTGCCCCCCCCCAACAGCCTCAGCTAAGACGCGCCCCCTGTGTGATAAATATACAGTGACAGTAGGGAACGGTCAGCGGCCTGGCTGTACTGTCTGGTAGGAGTGTTGGGATCACACGACTGGCTAAGCGCAGTACAAACCATGTGGCGGTTAGGTTGTAGGGGAGTGGGCTGGGGTAGTTTCCCTGGAGTTAAAGGAAACAATGAAAGCCTGACCACCAATCAGGTGCACCCCCTGCACAGAATCAAAAACACATGTATGTGGGGGCACGCCATTAAATGCCCACTGCCGCGATGCCACATACATGTGTCATTGAGGTCTATGTAGCTAAGCGTGCTCCCAGCATGCATATATGTGTCTGTATACCGTTACCCCCGCTGCCATGTCACCTCATACATGTGCATGCCCAGTTAGGCGTCATTGAGGTCTATGAAGCGGAGCCATGCCACCACATATATGTGCATGCCCGGTGGTGCCATTGAGGTCTATGTAGCAGAGCATGCTCTCTGCAGGCATATATGTAACTGTATAACGTTACCCCCGCTGCCATGCCACTACATATATGTGTGTGTATGTGCGGTGGTGTCATTGAGGTCTATGTAGCTCCCATATACCCAGCAGGACAGTATACAGCCCACTCGGCACGGCCTCATATATGTGCCCAGCTGGCATGCAGGGGTTAATGTGTCAATAAATCAATGCACGGGGTCTCCGTACACCGGCCAGGGGTTGATGGACTCACCGTAGCTCCCCGTCCAGGGCCTGGATGACGGCGGCGAAGCTCCGGCTGGTCTGGTTCAGGTACTTGTAGCAGGTCTGCAGGCTCGGGCTCATGACGTCCTGTCGGGGGAGAGAGACGGCGTGAAAGCGGCAGCAGGGGGCCGGGTTATGGGGGGTGAAGCACTTGTGGACGGCGCGGCCCTCCCGCAGCCCCCTCTCCTGCAGCCTGCCGACCGTCAGCAGCGAGCGCTGCCCGGCGGGCTTGTGGGCCGGGGACAGGCACAGCGTCCTCTTGAACAGGGAAGCGGCCACCTTGCAGTTGACGCTGGCCATGGGCCGACGCTCGGGGAGGGGGGAACTCCCCCTTTCTCAGGAGCGGCCCCCTCGGGCTCGCTGGGGGGACAGAGCGGCAAGGTGAGCGGCCAGGAACTTCGCATCAGAGTTTTCACAACACTGCAGGGACACGCCCACCACCCTCCAGCACGGCCCCGCCCCGCCCCCGGGCAATGTTTACATGGTGTGTGGGCGGGGCCTCTGATCTCCCGATATTAACTGTTTACACACCACACAGGGGCGGCTCTGCTCAGAGATTTAAAGGGACAGTACAGAATAAAGCCCCCCCATTCCTAGACATGCAGCTCCATTCAGATCAATGCGTTGTGGTAATGCATTACAACATCGGGGCCCTGACCACACCTGCGTGTGCATAATGCGTGCTGCTCGCCATCACGTTGCTTTCTTCTATTAATCTGATTCGCATATATGCGGTGCGTTGTGGTAAATCATTTGGGTGTGTTTTTTCCCCACACCGTGCGTTCATGCACTGCACATGCGTGGATACTGAGACCCGCCGCTAGCAACAGGCCACGTGCTCTTCGCTCTGGCTCCATTAGGAAAATTGAAAGTTATTCTCACACCGCACCGATGTTGCATACATTGTTTGAGGACGCATGACAAAAATCATAAGCGTATGAAAGCGTGCATTGAAAACCACAAATGCATGAAAACGGACGTGCATAGGTGTAAAGGTCTTGTCATGCGTCAACCTGCGTTTCCTTCCAATATCAACATGCCATTGACATGTGTTTCCTTCATGTCATTGACGTGCGTTTCCTTCCTGTATCATCATTGGCCTGCGTTTCCTTCCTGTATCATGTGTCATTGGTGTGCGTTTCCTTCCTGTATTATGTCATTGGCATGCGTTTCCTTCCTGTGTCATTGGCGTGCGTTTCCTTCCTGTATCATGTGTCATTGGTGTGCGTTTCCTTCCTGTATCATTGGTGTGCGTTTCCTTCCTGTATCGTGTCATTGCTGTGCGTTTCCTTCCTGCATCAGTGTCATTGCTGTGCATTTCCTTCCTGCATCAATGTGTCATTGCTGTGCGTTTCCTTCCTGCATCAATGTGTCATTGCTGTGAGTTTCCTTCCTGCATCAATGTGTCATTGCTGTGCGTTTCCTTCCTGTATCATCATGTCACTTAAGTGCGTTTCCTTCATATATCAACATGTCATTGATGTGCGTTTCCTTCCTGCATCAGGTGTCACTGACATGTGTTTCCTTCCTGTATCAACATGTCACCGAGTGTTTCCTTCATGTATCATCATGCGTCATTGACGTGCGTTTCCAATGCGGTTTTTATATTGGAATCTGGAGTGGAAAGAGTTAACATGCGTGGCCCCGGGCTCCCTATAACCCATATAATGCGTGACTGTTATGGGCCTTCCAAACGCATTAAAATGCAGATAAACGGACATTCAAAACGCACTGCAGCGCTGAGACGGGGACAGGCACCATTTTTATTATGGGGATGTTGGACACATGCGTTTTAGCCCCTGTGTAAAAATGCAACAGCGTGAATGGGTCTTTAAAATAGACGGCCGCCATTCGCTCCGTGTACGGGAAGCATGTCTAGATTTCTGCATTCTACCGTGAGTTAGAGCAACGCATGTATGACTGAGCAGCACCATTCCATCCAACGCACCACAACGCATATACTGTCCATTGTGAAAAATAAATAGGCCAGTCCATGTAAACGTATGTTCATAAATGCACCCCTAACGCATGACTGGGCCCCAAAACTGGCTGCAATCTGCTGTGCGTCATTCATAAAAACCGGACAAATCTGGAGCTGCCGCCCGTGGCAACCAATCGGCTTCTCTTCTGATTTAACAAGTGAAAGGGAGAAGCCGATTGGTTGCTATGGGCGACTGCTCCAGTGTTTATGAATTCCCCATTGACCTCGCCGACCTCTGACCTGAGAGGAATCCAGGACCGCCACCGCTCCCCTCCCCCAACAATATGGCCTTCTGTGCTGCCCAATCAGCTGCTGCCCCGCCCACAGCTTGATGTCAGCAAAGGGGCGTGGTGCAGTGATGTCATTGCCCTTATATGGCTACATGTCTATATTTGGTGAATGACATCACTACACCCCGCCCCTTTGTTTATATGCAGCAGAGGGGGCGGGGAGGGAAATGCAGGCCAAAAGCTGAATGACGAACTACAAGTCCCATGAGGCATTGCAGGACTCTGCCAGCCACGGTTATGACCCCCCAGAGGCAGGGGCATGATGGGAATTGGAGTTCCATCCCAGTTGGAGATGCCATTCCCGTATTTTAGCATTTTCCTCAACTGTGAGCATTTAACCCTTGCGGTGCTGGGGGAGGGGGTGCAATGATCTGCTGGGTCATTATAGGATTAGTAGTCCGGTAATCGCATGGTAATCCGCATCGGATGCCATGTCCTGGCCGTACTCCCAACCCCCGCACCGGTCTCATCTTTTCTATACAGGGGGATACAGGATGACTAGGTCAGAGGGGTATATACGGGACAGGTCAGAGGGGTATATACGGGACAGGTCAGAGGGGTATATACGGGACAGGTCAGAGGGGTATATACGGGACAGGTCAGAGGGGTATATACGGGACAGGTCAGAGGGGTATATACAGGTCAGAGGGGTATATACGGGATGACACAGGACAGGCATATAGGATAGAGTGATCCTTTTCAGTGTTTGGTTGACGTGACAAGCAATAATTCTGATTGGTGGAGAGCAGTGACAGTGCGCTGTCCGGGGTGCCAAGCCTCTTACCTGCTTCATATGCGGCATCACCGCCTGGCAGCCGCCCATCTTAAACCTGATGAGGTTGTAGATCTCCTCCGGGTGGTTGAGCGACCTCAGGAAATCCATGGCCGGGGTACAATGCGCTCTCGGCGGTCACAGCATCCACACACGACCTGCTATACTCGCCAGCTGCCGGTCTCTAGCCCCGCCCCTGCTGTCAGCACCGGCCAATGGTTCCCTAGCTCCACAATGGACTGACGGCTGCCATAGGATGGAGGCTCGTCGGACCAGTAGACGCCAACCAATTAGGGAAGACCTGTTGCTGGGGTGACGCCTCGCGCTAAGCAGGGATTGGCTCGGAGGGAGCGATGACGTCCTAAACAAATTAGGTGGACCGTGCCGAGTGCGGTCGCTATGACGACCGGCTCCGGATGGGGGCGGTCCTCAATTTGTGATGTGACGCAGCGTGAACGCTGGGCCTTATGGTTCCACGTGTTCTTGTACAGCGAAGGTTGTTATCATAGCAACCAGGTCACTTCATAGAGAATATGTCATCTAGTTGCTAAGGGAAACAGATCCGTTTTCATAAATTAGCCCAAGAGAGTGTTTAAGTGATCTTCCTGGAACTTTCATGAGGCATATAAATTAAGCCAATGGGGTACATCTATGAAAACTGGAGCAGATAGAATTTGGATCAGTTGCTCATGGCAACCAGTCAGATTTTAGCTTTCATTTTGGAAGCTTGACTAAACAAACTGAAAAGAGAAGCTGATTGGTTGACATGGACAACTGTTCCAGTCAAGCTTCCAAAATGAAAGATAGAAGCTGATTGGTTACCACGAGCAAGTGCTCCAGATTCTGTCTGCTACACCTTTTGATAATCAATGTTCCTTCCACAAATGCTGGTCGCCTGGCTGTTATGTTGATCTTCTATTGAAAGCTCCAACTCGTCGAAATCTCCAACTGCCTCACTGCCGGGTACTTGCAAGTTGGAGATTTCGACCAGATGGCGTTAGACTGCAAAACACAAAGACAGACGGGGCTCTGTACAGCTGCACTTTAACAATACTCAGCAGGTGGCAAACGCGACGAGTATTCTGAAAACGCTATGCGCGCATGCGCACCGCAACTGTACAGAGCTACAGTCTTTCTGTGCACCGGAAGTGAGGTAGTTGGAGATTTCGATGAGTTGGAGCTTTCGATAGAACACCGGTCCTCTGGCTTCAAAACAGAGCAGGAAAAATTATACAGATCGAGTCGAGTCAGAAATTGTGATCCACCAACCTGTTCATTCTATATCAATGGTAACGCCAGCGGTTTGGCATGGCAGCCAGGGAAGTAGTGCTTACAGAAAGAACAATGGCCGCCCCCATAGTTGTGTCATGGCAGCTTTACCTTAAAGGGGTTCTCCATTGTTCCGCTAAGCAGCTAGACCCGTGGCCAGAGCTCAGCAATGGTCCCCTTCACCATCGAAGGTGGAGTTCACACCTTTGCACGCCAAGCGCCTTATCGTGCGTCATATTAAAGGAGAACTATGGGGTCAGTGTTTTTACCCATAGTTCTCCTTAGGGTAATGGGACCCCGTTACCCTAAACTCAGTATACTGCGAGCTGTAGCTCGCGGTATACTGAGACGCCGGAGCGGATCCCGACGTAGATGACGGGATCCGCCCAGCTGCGTGAGTGACAGCTGGCTCTGCCTATCTAGAGGCACAGCCAACTGTACCCTCCCCTGTCCGTTCCGCCAGTCAGCGCTGGCGGAGCGGGGAGGGGGGAATCCAGCCCCTCCCCGTCACGGCAGAGAGCCGTGACAGGATCGAGAGGTGAGCGAACCTGGGATGTGTTCGCTCACCTCCCGATCTGTGACAGTCTCATTGTCACAGGTCGGCTAGAACTATGAGGTGAGTGGAAATCACTAATCTCATAGTTCTCCTTTAAGGCAGCCTGATGCGCTAAAAACGCACCAAAGAAAGTCACATGTATTTTTCTTTTCTAAAGGTAGTGCGTTATCGTGCATTGCAGTGTGCTAACATGCATGTGCGTACGTAAGGTGTGCCGGGGGGTGCCATTAAGAACGGACGGCAGCACTGCAGCACACAACGTGCGCGTTTTCACTCATTGCCCTGAGGTAGGCGTTCCTGCAGTGCAAAGGTCTGAGCAATGCATTAAGATGTCCTCCTCCTTCAGAGAAAGGCGGACATTTCTGGGGGCCCCACATATGATCCAAAGAAGTGTAAACCTTTCATCTATGGCGGGCAATGTACACCGAGGCGTCTTTCAGCTTTTACATGGAAAGCTTCTCCTTCAACTTAAAGTGCAACTCCACCCAAATCATAGAGTGGAAAAGGATTAGAGCGCGGGGTAGGCAAACTCTGTCATTCCAGCTGTGGTGAAACTCGCATCATGCCTGTCAGAGTCTAGCAGTGCCTCATGGGACTTGTTGTTCCGCCACAGGTGGAGGGCCGTGGTTGCCTACCTCTGTCTGTTTTAATTGCCCATCTGTGTCCTCTATTGGGGTGATATCCCTTCATTTCCTGTTAAGACAGGAAGCCTCTCCAATAGGCACACAGTAGGATTACGATCCAGCCAGGTCGTTAAAATCTCCCTTAAAACTAAGACCATTGAAAAATAAATACCGTCCCTTTAAGGCCCCGTTCACATATAGCGACTTATCGCGCGATTTTCCGCCGCGATAGCGCGCATTTTTGCCGCGCGATATCGCGAGAAGTCGCCGGCCAATGCTATTCAATGGAGCTGTCTTAACTCCATGTCGCGCGTCGCTGGAACGTCGCCCTGAAAGTCGCGCTATCCCGGCCGCTGCAAAGGTTTGTCGCTACTAGACCTCACCAGTCTAGTCCACTGCGGTGTGTGTGTGTTAAAGCAGATCCTCGATGCAGAACAGAATGTTTGTTGTGTTGCACGCTCGCACGCCTCCCCCCCCCCCTTTCAAAGCCATTTGCAAACAAACAATTCTGCCGCAAAAGAAACACCTCGGCCCCCCCACCCCAACATTTCCATGAGGCACGAGTGATGTTACCATGGCTACCAGGTGAACTGTTTGTTTACAAATGGCTTCTTGGGAAGTTGGGGTGTTGCGGCCCTTCTGTTTACTATGGAAGGTCCTCCTTTAAAGCAGCCATTTCATTTGGACCAACCGATCTAGTTGGGATAAACACTGCACAAGTCATGTGCAGAATATTTTTGGGGATGGCTCCGATTGGCTGAGAGTATATCCTCCATTAGCACATTAGCGGGAGCTACGCAAAATGCTCAAGCCGGCTTCTCCACTACGCTAATAGCGTATCTTCCCAGAAGCTGCATACAGCGCGCGCCGGTTTAAATAGTAACTGGTACACGCTGTATGCAGCTTCTGACAGCATGGGAGACGGGCAGTGGGGT